TATTTCTAAGCCGATTATAAAAGTCATTGAAACTTATAAAGAGCTTTATAACTACTTATTTTATTGGTATGTATTTTTTAAAATCTTTGTTGTCTGAAGGGGACTATCAATTTTTTTCTTCAAATGTTGAAAAGTCATTAATATGTGATCAAAACAATTCCTATATGGATTTTCCAAGGTTCCTTGTTTCACTTTTGTGATTAAATTTGTTTGATAAGCACATATATTGAAAGTAATTATTTGCTGTAATGTGTTAACAATAAGGCCACAGTAGGAAGTGATGAAGTCACAAATATAGAACTTTAATTCACTTGAAATATTATTAACAATATCAATAATTTAGGAGCGCTAAAAAACAAAAAGTACTTTAGCGCTACATCATTACAGATATGAAGTGAAATATGAAACACCTAGACTCCTAAAAAAGAGTTTTAATGGAATTAGGTGACTAAGGGGAAAAGCATATTTTAAGGGATCTTTTGAAAGAATTAATAATTCTCTGATTGAAAGTGGGGTATTATTCTATGTTTTTGAAGCAACCACTGTAAAACTTTTTTTTTGGGGGGGGGGGGTAAATGAGAGTCTGGATTTGGGAATAATTAGTTTATATATATTCTTTACAACCATCTGGGCTAATCTGCTTTTTTAAATAAGAAAATGTAAATCTTCATTTTATGTCTGAGAACTGCAGTAAAAGTAGGGCTTCACATTTAATGATAAATAAAATGTTCTTGCCTTATAAATACATAAGCTCTTCAGGATAAAATAAAATCCTTGAAGACCCCAAATTTTGTACAAAACTGCTGCCAGACCCACTTCTCTTGTGTCTTGTCAATGAATGCTGGGTTAAATATTGAAACGAATTTGAAAGAAATACAAAAGACTCTGAAATCGGGAGATAAATGAGTTAAACGAAGGGCTCAAACGTGACAGATATTTATTAGAAAGGAGGACAGACGGACAGAAGAGAGGTTTTTAGATTTATGAAGAAAAAAAAAAAGATCTTCCCAGACAAGAAGAAGCCTCAATGAAAAACAGAAGATGGTTGAAACGGCTCCTAATATTCTACCATACTTCCAGGCCCAATTAAACACATGATGGATGATGGTACGCAGACTACTTTTGAGATGAATTTGAAGTCGAATAACAATCTGACCGAGCATGATTTCAATATGCTAAGAGCCAGAAAGGCATTATAACTATATGTCAAAGTGTGTGAACGCCCTTTTTGCTCTATAAATGCAGACAATATATATTCCCACCCCACCCCACCCCCTAGACTATGAATTAAGAGCAGGGCTTTATAGGTTCATCCATTTCGAAAAGGTCTTATGACTTGAATATATTTGGCAAGAGTGACCGACATAAAATGAAGAGTTTTTGCGGTTTATCAATTAGTAAAATATCTTCAAATGAAAATAAATTCAAATGAGAAATATTAACAAAAAATTTAATTTTGTTTGTTGATGATTCCTATCGGTACAAGGAATAGTTTTAATATTTATTGATAAGAACTATTTTCATGTTGGGAGCTGAAAGTTCAGGAGGGAAAGTTAGAGCAGAGGGAAACAATGACAGAAGGTGGGGGGGGGGGCATAAAGTAAGATGGAAGAGAAGATGAAATAGTGATAATAGGCAGATACACTCTAAAGAGAAGATGGAGGGGTATATTGATGAAATGAGAACAGAATTATGGAAGAGAAAAAGAGGAGGTTATATAGACAATGTTTAAAAACAAACAAGAGAGAGAGGATGAAGGAATTAGAAAGGTGGGGGTGGGGGGGGGAGGGTGTAAGGAAAAGAAACAAGTGTTACAAAGAAAGAGCTAATAAAATAGCCAAAAAAATAGTAATTTGGGGCAAGAAAAGACATGTGAGACAGCAAGACGATAAAAAGGAAAAACAGGGAAGTTTTTTTTTTTACACAGGAGGGGAAAGTTGGGGAGAGTGAAATAACAGGAGAAAGAGGAAGTAAATTACACTGGGAGAATTGATACGACTGTTGAAATTAATAGCTACTACAAGTATGGAATGGTATACCTAAATGAAAATATTCTTGGTATCTGTAACAACAATAGGACGGCAAGGCGATTAAGAGAACCTCATCACTTTTTTGGTCAGAATTAATACTGGGAGAGAAATTTAATCAATTTCCTTGTTGTCCAAGTTTTCTTTACAGCATATGTAAAATTAGACTACTGAGAGATGGAAACGATCTAGGCCTATTCCAACCTACCCAAACAGAGTCTTTAAAGGTACTATGTCCCTTTTGCAGCCAACCTCAAATTCTGTAGAACTTTGCAAGAAGTATGAATATGTCATGTATGTCCTATCTGTGAAATTTAAACGTTGGCAGTGTCCTCATATTCAAATTATGCAAGGAAACCCGTTTACTTGCTAGACTTCACTGTCAGGCACTATTGAGCAACTGACTGGCTTTTTTTCTTCCTTGGTAATAACATACATGAAAAGAGTTGTAAAGGGTACATGAGTATTTGTCTACATCAATAACCCACTTCTTGTGATGGCCAAGATTAAACTGATTGAATCTTTGCGCAGCATAAAACGTATGACCACGTACAATTGTCTGAAAAACAAGACTATTACTTTTGGGCTCTATAGCCCTAAAGTCGATTTGACAATTAATAGTCGTTATTTTCCCACTTGAAGACATTTTCAAGCCCCACCTTGTTTAGGGAAGTTCTAAATTAGTATTATCTTTCAAATGCAGTTGGAATTTAACATTTTCATTTTTTTGGCCTGCAAATGGGACATAGTACCTTTAAGACATTGTTTTTACTTCTTTTTTCTTAAATGAAATGCATTGGAAATTTGAATTCTGGCAAGAGCTTTGCTTTTGCCACTTTAACGTCGTCGTCTGTCGGCTTCCTCAATCGGTTGCCAGCCACCGATTGAGAAAGAAAACAAAGATCTAAATCTCTTGCACAAATTATATGCACAAACACACGGAGAACATCTCAAAGAAAAACTGATAGTTTTCAGAGCTCATCGTCATCTTTTCTTTGCAAGAAGAATCGACCAAATCTCAATTATTCTAGCAGCCACCAGTCCTGAGCTAACGACGGATCCAATCGATCCTGTGAGCTCCTCAAATTGGCAGGATTAGCCTTCTTTGCTTTATCCTCCCCTCCCCTCCCCATGCTGCAGCCTTCGCACCCCTTTGGCCCAGTTTTCCCAATCCCCTCCGACCTCTCACCTTAACCCTCACACTATCAGGTGGTGCGCTCGCGGGACCGCAGAAAGAAAAAAAATCCCCCAAACAGTACTCATCCCCACCCTCCTCTTCCTCTCCACTTCATTTCAACCACATGATCGCTGACTTGTTCATTCATGTGCATGCTATTACACGCTAATAGACACAACAACTTCCTCAATTGAGAGAAAATGACACCTTAATCTATCTCAATCTCTCTCCCACCTCTCTCTTTCTCTGTCATTAAAACAAATGTTTTTCCATTCCCCGTGTACCTTCGGCAATCAAAGCGGAACTAAGCTTACTGAAAAAAAAGAGAGGTTGTAGTTCCTCATAAGGTATTTCCTTACAGGAAAACGCTCTCACGTCAGGTTCGAGTAGTTGAAGTCCACTTGATGCTGTTGAGCAGCCAATGATAACGCTACTATATACCTCTTTGGCAGCCAGTTATTTTTATATTTGGCTTGATTTTGTTTGTTTTTTGGTAGACATGATTTGTAAGGTACTTTCCCTCTCGTTTACCCAACAATTAAAGTCATACTTTCCCCAAGTCATGGAGAGGCCCAGTCAAGGACGCGGACTGTTTGGAGAAGAAATAAGAATCAACGGTTTTTAGTAGTGTTCGCATCCTGAATCCTCAGATTTCATCACTAAGAACGCCATCTCTAAGCTTTGTTTTTCTTTGTTAAAAACAGAAACTGGATTGTTTTTTCAGAGAGTAAATATTCCCACCATATGTTATATTGTCTCAGAAGGGCCGAGGAAAAAACAATCAAAATAATTCAAAAGTCGCAAGGAAAGGGAATCAAACAAATCACGAGACTCTGTTTCGCGTCATCTCCAGTTCTCCCACGCCAATTTTTTCCTATCTCTTATGGCAAGCTTACTATTCTCATTCTAAATGTATTTCAGTGAACAAAAGATTTTTTAACCTTCAAGCAAAAAAAAAGATAGAATTAGCTAATTACCCCCAAAAATGTCAATGCCCATCAAAGAGGAATATAAGCAAAGAAAAGTGTGTTGGATATACAAATACTTTAACCAGATACCAAACAAATTTTTTATATTTTTGTCCATTAAGGTTCTTTCCTCCTTTAGATGACATAAGAAATAGCTTTATCTAAACTTTGTATGTATTCCCTCTCCCCCTCACCAATACCTTGGGAACACTAACATTTCCGCTTTACAGGACAAATTTGCATCCTAGAACATTCCTGATTTCAATTTGCAGAACCCAGGCACAATTATTTTTAAAGAAGTAGTCCACTGTTTACTAAATGTCTGGCTCCTGGTTCTTTCGTAAGTTATTGGCCTTTGTTTTGTTTTACTTTTAGGGATAACATCAGAACAAAGAAGTCAACAAAGAAGTCAGATTTCTGGTGTTTAGCCCACTTCTTAACACCAAGAAAAAGGATAAAAATGCCATTGTCCACCCCAAAAATCTGTTTGAAGAATCTTTGTCAACATTTGATGGGGCTTTATTTAAAAGAATTCCAGACAGAGAACAGAGAATGAAAAAAAATGTCCTGAAGAGAGAAAGAAGAGATTATTTGCGTAGGTCTTGTTTCCCCAAGATTTACGCACATCTGCTTGAGAAAACTTTGAAGAGCGTTGCAATCAGAGCTACAGTCATCAAAGATAAATCACTTAGTTTAAACTTTAGATCTTTCCTGCATATTTCATTGAAAGTTTAAGAAAAAGCTATTAAAAAGGATGGCAAGCAAAAATTGCGTTATTCCACTGAATGTGAAATGAAAAAATGATGTGAATTTTAAGGAGAGTCTTACCTGTGGTCTCTAAGATGATCTTGTCTTCTGAAAGCCTTGTGGCAGATGTCACATGAGTAGGGTCTCTCATCTGTATGGGTCCTTTCATGAATCAGAAGGTTGTACGACTTGGTGAAGTGGCGCCCACAGAACCTACAGATGAACTCCTTCTTGGCTCTCATCGGTCCTCTCCCTCGGCGCCTCTCTGTCGGTTGCAACGGCATCAACCTCGTCTTGCTGCTGTCGGCGCTGCACGGTTGTGTCGCGGCGATGGCCAGATGGGCAAAGTCAAACTTGGGGGCCTTCTTGGGCGGTGCCCCCGACGAAGACCCCAATGATGTGTGCTGGCGCGATGATGGCACTGACGAGGAGCCGCTGAGTACTAGGCGCCGCAGGGTGCTATGTGGATGTGGTACCGTCAGTGCGGCATTTGGTGAAGCGGTGACGACGCCGGGTGGTACCTGCCAGGTGGCGAGACCCTGTGTCCATGCAGCAGTACTGATTGCACCGAGGGGTAAGAAAGGGACATGGTCGGCGCCCTTTAGGGTACCGGCGGCGCCACAGGCTAGTGCATTGGGTAGATGGATAGGACTAGGGTGGTGAAGGGTTGTCAGTTGGTTCTGGCTTGTTGGTGTGAGAGGAGGTGTAGGTGGTCCTGAAAGCTTGGCTTTCTTCAGCTCTGAAATATATATCAAAAAGACAAAGGAATAAACACTTCTGATAACAAATCAAAAGGCGAGAATGCCTTGTATATAACGTAGGTGACAGTAATATATTTATGGTGGTACATACACAAAAATCTAGTGTTTACATCCATGAAATTGGTGGCTAAAAGTCTCATAATAAATATATACAAATAGATCAATGCTCTGGTAATGTGGAAAGTCTTCCATTTACACATATCTTTTAAATCTACCACCATTCTGTATGTCATCAATAATGCTGTTGATAAAATAGCATTTTGGGATCATTTTAGATGTGCCTAGATGGACTGTAGAGAAGTGTGAAATATATCAAACTCAATCAAGTAACTCAACTGATGCTTTTCAATCACTTTATCAAACTAGATATCACATTTGAATTTTGTTTAATAGCATCAAGTAATTCAAAATACCAAAGAAAATGTGTGGAAAAGGTTTCCTCAATCCTAACACTTATGAAGTCCTTTTTCATTTCTTTTCTTCCGATTGGGTAAATTGTCCATAAACAACGGCCACCTGCCCCCTTAATTAACCGCCAAAGAAATATTCAAAGGAGCTAGGCGATGTAAATGGAAAAAAAAAATCAGCATCCATACTGGTCTTTGTCCCAAAACTTTGCCACCAGTACCCAAACAGAACATTAGGGCCTTGTTGGCTAACAGGACTAATTCAAGGAACAAACAAAATTAGCGGCAACCATTGCTAAGATTTCAACTACTTACTCACACATTTAGCGGCATTGACAAAAGACTAAATGGTAGTCTAGTAGTACTAAGGTATATTTAAGTCACATCAACAGATACTGTACGATAGGGTGCTCATTTCTGCTTAATTTCTTCCCAGTTGTTTCTGTTATTTTTTTATTTTTTTTGCTGATCTTCTCTCATGCTACAATTTAAAATGAAGCTGTTTTATTTTAAAGATATTTTCTGTTTTTTTATCTCATTTTTTCAAAAGTCTTTTTCTTTCATCTCTCATAATTTACTTTCTGTCTCTCCCACTCTCCATCTTTTGTTCCAAAATTCTCTTTCTCTATTTCTATGTCTTTACTATTTCCTTTTGTTTTCTTTCTTACAAACTCTTTTGACCTCTTGATACATTCTCCCATTCCCCCCCCCCCACCCCCTCTCTCTCTCTCTCTTGGCACTCCCAATTATTTTTCTCTCTCCCCTCTTGCACCCCCTCTCTCTCTTTTATGTTTTTGTCCTATTTCCATGTAAGTCTATGTACAGAAGAAAATGTTTAGTGAGAATCCTTGTAGAAATACAATCATTCCATGCTAGATGTGTTACCGTCTAAAGTTACCAAAGCCAAAATCTGTAATCAATTCCATCCCAATCAAGTCCAAATTATGCTTCCAAATGGGGCTCAATACCCCACACAAACCAAATTGCTACTGAACTTTTAGAGAAAGCCGCAAACTCTGCCCAAATTCCTGCCAAATTTGTCGACTCCTTTTGTTTCACCTCGCCACGTTTGTTTTCCAACCAGTGTCTTCCGATCGCAGCTCCCAACGCATGGCCCTGATAAAGGAATTGGAGCTGAGATACTGCAGCGGCAGCCTTTGAAGACCGGCATTGGACCTGTTAGGGACGAATTAGCTACATTTTTGGATTCTTTGGGCTGTCGTTTTGCGAGGGAGGGTCGGGTTTCAAACTATTCAACCGGGTATGGCCAAGCACACCCCCAAGCTTAACATTTGAAATAGCTCCCCAATCAATTTGATTACAGGTTTCTCTAAGTCACCCTAATTGATCCCGATGGTCTCCTGAAGCAGGTTGATGGACTGGATCTCGGCCAGCCCGATCTGGGGCTCTGAGTTGGCGGTGTAATAGGTTTAAGAGGGTCTCTCTCCAATGTATATGTAAGCCCATATCCTTGAGGCGAAGAAGCCACGGCGCGGCCGCTTAGCCCAAAGCCTTTGAGACAATTGGTTTGATCCTACCAGGCAATTGCAAAAGTGTTCCCTCGACACTTCGAGCCGACAGGTTTGATTGAGACGTGTGACAGCGGTGACACAACTGTACCTGCTTCAAGTTTTCTCCTCTCTCTCTACCTCTCTTTCTCTCTCCCTCTCCCTCTTTCTCTCTGCCTCTCTCCTTGTCCCCAAGGTTTATTTAGCCTCCGCCTCTCAGCTGCGCAGGGTCTCAGTTTCACTGTTGGGACCAGCAGAATTGGTATCCCCATCCCTCGCCCACCAAAATGCCCCCCTGCCGCTCCCGTTTGCTACCGACATCCCCAATACAGTCTGGTAATTGTGGCCAACACCAAGGAACACATAAGCTCTCGCTAATAGGGCTCTTGGCTGCCCTGCGTGTTGCCTCTTCAGAGCAAAATGGCCGGGCGGAAATGCCTCGCCCCTGCGCCCCTAATTCGCTCCTACCCGACTGGGAAACAGCGGTGTTGATTTTTTCAAGCAAGTGCACCGGAGCTGGCTGTTGGGTTCCCCGACTGGGTAGACCGGTCGGACGAGAAGTTTGCTCTCCCGTCCGTGCCTCTGCTCTGGCTACGCTTCGGGACCGCGGTGCACGCAGCTGTTCCGGAGAAAGAGAATTTCATCTTGGGTCTGGGATGGCGAGGCGCAGGGGTGGAGGGACCCCGGTGTGACGAGCTAATTGGGGTGACGAAGATGTAGCAGCGGATCGGAAGTGCTCTCTCCGCTCCTCGATTCACGATAGTAATACAAAGATGATGGTATCATTACACAGACATAGCAGGGTACTGGACAGCAGGCAGCAATGCAAGACTCTTATTTAATTTCATTACAGGTGACTCGATCAAACAGTCACTGCTGTAAAATGTTGACCCGATACATGGGAAGTAATTTGGAAGACCAATATTACCGGATATTAAACCGATACATATTGCACTTCAGGTCAGGAAATTAAATATTATTTCCTAAATACTTGGCATTACTTTGTTAAATGAACATAACAATATCTACACAGCATGCCTAACATTTGTACTTAATCAAGAACAAAATTGTAGTTTAACTTAGCTCCATCTTTAGTCAAAATATGCCTTCTAGAGAGAGAGAGAGAGAGGATGCATGGGCTTTATGGCAGAGCCTGTGCAAAAACATGTTATCCAATAACCTTTACTACTACATCTACTGTACTAAAGTCACTCAGATAAATTAATTATGGACTTTGAATAGAGATATTCATCCCTGGAGACCTATTCATGCTAAAGAACCCTTTCTCCTCTCTGTAAACCCTTGAATTTCTTTAAAAATCTGGGAGACACAGAAAGAGAAAAGAGCAAGAGAGAGGAAGAGTAAATGATATTAAGTCATTTAAAAAGTATTTTAAAACTCTCCAACTCCTTGACATTATAAATATAACAAACAACCTCATCATCTATTTCTTTTGTTCCTTCCTCTCTACCGTATATTGAAGTATTATAACTCTCCCCCTTCCCTCCCTCTTCTCCATCTCTCCTTTCTATCTCTTCTTCTCCCTCCTCCATTACCTCTCCTGCCCTCTCTACCCCTCTCCAGTTCTATCTCACCCAGCCTCTTTCCACTTCCTTTTTCTCAAACTCCCTCCTTCTCTTTTTTTTCCTCTCACCTTCTCTTACACCTCAAAATTCATTTCAAACTTTATCCCCCTCTTTACTTTCTCCATCTTCCTTATTCATCTCTTCCTCCCTCTCCTTCCCTCTCTCCTTCTTCCCATCCTCTTCCCTCTTCCTTCACCCGTCCTTTCCCTCCTTTCTCCCCCCTCCTTCTACCCCCTCCCCTACCTCCCCTCCGCCCCTCCTCCTCCTCCTCCATCTCTCCCAATCCAGGAGCATTTGCAAGTGAAGTGGGAGGTTGAGTGAGCACAGCAGGAGCAGGAAACAACATTAGATTTAATCTTGGCAAGTTTGTGCCCGTCCAAACGCCCCGGTGCGGCGACTGTGACGGTGCAAATAGAACACCTACGCCCGCACTAGGTGCGAGACAGAAAACGAATCAGCGCATCTGCTGGGTTTATTGCTGGGATAAATCAACATTAATATCTTGCCCTTCTAGGTCAATTCAACCATCTCTATCTCAATATCATATGACTTTCTTTTGTTCCATATAACCTTTTTCTCTTAATTTCTTTTCATTTGTAATATAATATTTTCTGTTGGGAGCAAGAAGGATGTTAACTCATTGAATACAGACTTAATGCCCTTCTGGCCCTCAGCAGCCAATATATCTCTTACCTACAAAAAGTTGTTTATCTTTTACTGAAATCAGATAACTCAATGAAGTTTATGAAATATATTCTTATTACATAACACAACTATTCAGCATTTCAGAATCTCATTCAGACTCATATTTTGAACCGACAATTTTGAAGTAGATGCAGAAATACATCATATCTGACATTGGTATTAACTATATCCAAACTTTCGGGGTTGTCGGTGCCTCTCAAATGGAAATCAAGAACTATACATTCAAACATGAAGAAGAAACACAAGCACACATCTCAAAACATCTTTCTATTATGTCAAATCTAAGGACTGATTTTAAATGACCAATTTCACCCTGATCAGTGTCTTTAAGAATCAGAAGAAAAGGTTTTCAAAAAAAATTCTTGACATCAAGTCTTTGCGACATCCTCTCAAATCCCCAGGTGTGCGTGCATACCCCCACCTCCTCTCTCTCTCACCTCTTCTCGTTATTATTGAAAAAGAGAGAAAATATATAGAGGGGATCGGGAAGAAGAAGAAAAAAACAGGGACATCCTACTGTATTTACAGAGTGTAATAATCATGGCAAACAACCATTTGGTGATATGAGAACTACAAATTCTGAAATTTGTTGGCCAGCGGGGCGCCGCCGCACCGTAACGGCCTCACGGCGAGAGGTTAGTGAGGAGGAGCGAAATTGCATTAGTATCCGCTGGCAACCGAGCACACTTTCACCTGTCAGGGGTCGGGTGGGATGAGAGAGAGTGGAAACCACGGCCCAGACAAGCATGTACCCGGCCGGCCACACAAGAAT